GAAGGCCTTTCCCTCTCTACCACCGACTCTCTACCTACCAAACTTCTAACTGTTCTTTCACTTCAAAGTCAGCTCAACGTCACTGAATTCATGAAAACCTTCCCTGACCCCTCATCTTGACTGAGGGCTCCTTCCTATACCTCTCTGTATCATGGAACATTCTTTTCTGTTCGGCTCATGGTACTGAAACAAAACTTTTAATTAAATGTGACCTTTGAAAAGTCAGAGGTTATGTCTAAAAATCCAGATTTCTTACTACTCTTGAAAAGAATAGGTCACTGTTACCAGGTGGGTATGGAAGTGAATAGCAGGGACCACATTACGGATCCCTTTCCTTGTGGCCTTCCCAAAACTGAGGCAGTTGTAATCTACGACACTGCTGTGATTTATTTACCATCATCCCTGTTTTTCTTACTCCCTCCAATTTCACTCACTCAAGGTGCCTGCCTGGCTCCAGTCCCCATTTGAGGTTGCAACCACTGTTTAGTTACCTGTTCCTCTATCTCTCATACCTATGAAACTGTAAGTTTCTTGAGAGTAACAACTTGTTTCTCTTTTTTTTTTTTTTAAAGATTTTTTATTTATTTATTTGACAGAGACAGACTGAGAGAGGGAACACAAGCAGGGGGGGAGCTGGAGAGGGAGAAGCAGGCTCCCCGCTGGCAGGGAACCCAATGTGGGGCTCTACCCCAGGATTCTGGGATCATGACCTGAGCCAAAGGCAGACGCTTAATGACTGAGCCACCCAGGTGCCCCCAACTTGTTTCTCTTTCACCCCTCCATTCTGACTGGTATATATTCAACTACTTTCTCTATTCACTAAATTATTAGTCAATAAAATAGGAAAAATGCTAACATTTAATCCATCATGAATGTTACTTCATACGCTTTAGCAGTTGATAGCACTGTTTCTTTACTACACTTAAATTCACTTCAAAATTCTATATCCTTTTCACACCTAAGTTACAAGTAGGCTCTTCTTGAGGGTTGGTAGAATGAAAAGCAGAGACATGGAAAAGAAAGAGATCATGTGCTTTGAAGGCCTACTATGTACCAGGCACTGTACTAGGCTCAATAATTAAGGTGCCTGGTGGCAAGGGGGGGGGCGGGGAGGAGGAATATCCCGCAGCTAGGAGTGCTTGGCACATCCCTAGGGACCAGGTAGGACCAGCATTCCAGAACAGCCAGTGAGCTTCTGCAACAAGCAGAAATAATACAGAGTTGCCAGGCCAGAGCAGTTACTGGTTACTTTGTGTAAACTTTGTAGGACACTTAGAGCATTCTTACCCGTGGTGAACTGATGCCAGGAAAGTCTATACTAGAGCCCCTGACTAACTCCACCCGCAACTGAAGGCCTCTTCTCTTTTCAGTCAAAGCAGTCAATTCCATTACACCTGCCATTAGGAAGACTAACTAGATAGCTCTGTTGTCCTATTCCCTTGGAGGAAAAAGATCAGAAAGAAATGTGTCATATAATCCCTATCAAAACAGAAAAAGGAAAATTTGAAATCAGAAATAGTTTTCACTTAACGGTATAACCAGCTTTTTAAAAAGAGTATAATCAGCTTTAAGAAAAACTATAAAGCAAATAATTTGGCCTAAAGGTACTCTGTTGCTTAAGATGCTGTATTGTAAAACCTTTTTTAAAAGTAAATTTTTTATTTAAGATACTTGTAGGTTCACATATAATTGGAAGATACAATACAGAAAAATCTCTTGTACCATATCCCCAGTTTTCCCCAGTGGTAACATCTTGCAACACTATAATACAATATCCCAACCAGATATTGATATTGATACAGTCAAGATACAAAACATTTCCATCACCACAAAAATCCCTCATGTTGCTATGTTATAGCCATCCCAACTCCCTCCTACTCCCCTCCCCCTTTCTTGTAACTCTTGGCAACCAGGGATCTGTTCTCCATATTTATAATTTGTCATTTCAATAATGTTATATAAATAAATTCATACAATATGTAACCTTTGGGATTGGCTGTTTTCACCCAGGATAATTCCATGGAGATTCATTCTGCTATAAAACCTTTAACTGGTATGGACCATAAAACAGAATACCACCTAGTAAACAAAGACCTTGGGTTCACTGATGACTCCCACTAAAGCAAATGGCACAAGAAAATTAAATTTCACTGTGCTCTGTTATCTATAAGGGTTTTCCTGCCACTGTAAAGATGTAAAGACATTCTTATCAAATTGTTTCACCACCAAGCCCATTTTACACACTGGAATTATAAACCTTTATGCTTGTACGGCCATGGAGGCCTGTGAAACTTATCTCCAAAAAACATGACTTGTTAAGTGAGTTCCAAAATCATCATTATTAATCATCACATAGTAATAATTAATCATTATATTATGAATAATTTACAATGAACTTCCTGAATTTTCCTACTTTAACTAAGTCCTTGCTCTCTCACACTACAAAAAAAAGAAGCCTCACTGGAATTGCTGCTGTTTGAAACATGCCCTAATGGTGAGTTGTTATTGTTTGTTTGTTTTTTAAGATTTTATTTATTTGAGAGAGAGAGAGAGTGGGGTGGGGGGGGCAGGGAGACACAGAGGGAGAGGAAGAAGCAGACCCACTGAGCAGGGAGCCTGGCAGGGCTCAATCCCAAGACCCCGCCCTGGAGATCAGACCTGAGTGGAAGGCAGACGCTTAACCAACTGAGCCACCCAGTCGCCTCCATCATGTTGAGTTTTAACCACTGCAAAGAAAGAAACACGACAGCTCCAAAATCTTTAAAACCACAAACTGGGGGCGCCTGGGTGGCTCAGTTGGTTAAGCGACTGCCTTCGGCTCGGGTCATGATCCTGGAGTCCCTGGATCGAGTCCTGCATCAGGCTCCCTGCTCAGCGGGGAGCCTGCTTCTCCCTCTGACCCTCCCCCCTCTCATGTGCTCTCTCTCTCTCTCATTCTCTCTGTCTCAAATAAATAAATAAAATCTTTAAAAAAAATAAAAATAAAAATAAAACCACAAACTGATTTGTTTGTTCTTCAAATTTTTCCTTCAACACATTTAGGACATTGTTCATAACCACTTCTAATAGCTGCCAAACTTGGCAAGAGAATCTCATCACTGAATGATTATTTGAAAAGGAGAAGCAAAATTCTGACCAGATAGACTAACTTTCTACTCCTTTCTACTTCTTACCATTTTAAGACAGAAACCAACTAGGCTCATTTCACCTTAGCAAGCCTATAATACAAAGATCAAGCTACAAACAATGAAAGAGTCTGTAACCTGTTGCCATGTTTATAAAACATAAGCCTAAAATTCATCGATCTTTTAACCAGATCCACAGTACTCTGTACTGGTGATACAATTTGTTAAGCAAATCAAAACTCAATTGTCACCAGACATAAGATTTTTGGATGAAGCACATACTCTGTAAAATTTCATATATATGGAGAAAGAGAAGAGGGAGGGTGGGAGGAAAAAAAACCTCCCAGGCAGTTCTCTCAAATGTTTAAGTTAAACTATGGAGAAAAGTAACAGAATATTACCTAAACATTTAAGTAATTACTTGTCCAGTAAAAAAATTAACAGCACCATAAGAGACTCTTAATCTCAGGAAACAAACTGAGGGTTGCTGGAGTGGAGGGGGGTGGGGGGGATGGAATGGCTGGGTGATGGACACTGGGGAGGGTATGTGTTGTGGGGAGCGCTGTGTATTGTGCAAGACTGACGAATTATAGACCTGTAGCCCTGAAACAAATAATACATTATATGCTAATAAATAAATAAATAAAATTAACGGCACGTAAACTTTAACTTTCTCAATAATCTTACTGCATATACACATATGCACACGAACACATATACACACACCGCTTTAGGATAGACGTCCACATCGGAACCCCCAATTACCACTCCTTTTCCTCTCAGAGAAGGGTCCTAAGGCTAATATCAATGGTTCCACTTAGACACTGGAGGTTAGCCGGGATAATAGTCTACACTCTTTACTCTGATATTAGCTCACCGACACAGGTTTGTCTCCAGAGCCTAAGAGAAAACTTCTAGAGGGCAGAGACCCACATCTCATTCATCTTTGTAACAAACACCACAGTGCTACCATCAGCGAATGTGCTACACAAAGTAGGCACTAAAGATATGCTGAATGTTAAAACGACAACATATGTTTGAGGTAGAGACCTATAAAATTCCAGAATGCAACAGGAAAATTTTCAAACTCCTAAACATCCTAAAGACGGTGGAGAATATATAGCTCAGTGGCACTACGTGTCCAAAATCTTATGTGTGCCCTTTAAATAATCACTCTATGGCTCCATTTTCTCATCCGAACAATGAAGATAAGAGCACCTAACTCACAGGATTTTGAATGGGTTAAAAAGTTGGTATAGGTAAAGTCCTTAGATCAACGCCAGGAACATTACACACTACATAAGGGTTAGCTGCTGATATTATTGAAAAAGACTATTACAGTAAAAGTAAGGCTCATGCAGTCCGACAAGAGGCCAAAAGCTTAAAAGAAATTATTCTAGGAAAGATAAGATCAGAGGTTGGCAAACTTTTTCTGTAAAGGGCCAGATTCTACTATAAATACCGTAGCTTGTCAGGCCAAGAGACAATATCCTCAATCCTTGGGCCAATATTCTCCCTGAAAAGCTAGCAGGCTTTTTGTTTGTTACATTTCACATTTTAAAACTTAAGAACCATTCTTACTACGTGGGCCCGTATAAAAACAGGCTGGATTTGGACTCAGGGACATTAGTTTGCCGACCTCTGGATAAGAATGTAATAATGATAATACAAGTCCGTGCTTTCTAAAGGCAACATAAGGAAACGTTTGTGAGTTGATTAAAGTTGACTGAAAAACGTCCTGCTCCCAAACTTCTAAAATCCAGACATGCAGGGCCGGCGTGGTGGGGAAGCCAGAAACGGGGAGCAGGGCTTCAGGAAACAACCAGGACCTCGCACGGCTCTCTGGGTCCGGCAGAGCCTCCCTGCCACACTTACTCCCAGCAGCGGCCCGCGGCCGATCACCGTCTCCCCGGGGGCCAGGGCCACCCGGGGGCCGCCGTCCTGCGGCTGCAGCTCGAAGCCCCCGGACATGGCGGCGAGGACTACACCCCTTCGCAAGGAGACGGTCCCCGCAGCCGTTTCCGCCTTCCATGGACACGCGCGGGGCCAAGGCAGGCCCTCAGAAAAACGCAGGGGGAGGAGGAGCACAGGCTCCGCTCGAGTGTCTCCAGGCCTCGCTCAGCCGAGGCCCCAGCTCCGCGTCCGAGTCCCGCCTCCCCTTTCCGACCAGTGACGCGCGCCGGGATTCTTCCAACACTCCGCCTCAAAATTATTTTTTAAAAGCCCGGGTTAACCACCCCCCCACCCTTTCTCACCACCACCCGCCGTGGAGGATGCCGGGCCTTGTAGTCCTTGGCGCCTCCTTCTCCTCTCTTGCTGAGCTGAGACGCCCTGGTAAAACTACCACTCCCAAAAGGCAACGCGCGCTTCTCTCTACGCCTGTACGAAATCCGAGTCAGCAAGGCGGAGCTACAGTGGGCGGGACTGGAGGGACTATGGCGAAGGATTCGAATTCCAAAGGATTTAATTCGCTGGAGGAGCTACCAAGGCACTGGAGGTAGGAGGGTCTTCCCTTCTAGCCGACGTCTGGACAGCTCAGCTTCGGCTCAGCTCCTTAGAACTGTGGTGACAGTCGGTGCTGACGGTTGTTATTGTCGCTTATTTGTCATTGCTCCGTGTTCTTTGGACTCGGGCAGCTGCAGACTGCGCGAGACCCTCAAAGAGGGTGGCTCAGTGGGATGTGGGGTCATTCCTTCCGACCTGCGGGGTTGGTCTGCGCTGCCTCCCGATCCCTCCCTCCTCGTGACACCGGAAAAGGGGCGAGCTCTTACCTAACTAGAGAGGTAATTCAGCAAAATATGGTTCATAAACAAGAAGGGGCAGAAGAGGGATAGTTGTCCCGGTATCCAGGCAAAACTGGACTTAGAAGAAGATGCCTAGTGGGAGCTTAGGAACCTCACCAAGGTACTCCCAGCTGTTAAATTCAAAAAATTCATTTGCCTCCTGGGGAAGAACTGTAACGAGAAGATGCATTTTATTCACCATTGAGATTCTGGGAAAAGTAACAAATGTTTAAATGCACGGTAATGTTCTCTTAATATGAAATTTTTTTCAAGAATATAGTAGTTTGGCTTGGTTTGTTTGATGGTGAGAGAGATGAGTTCCGTGGCAAAAACTTGCTCTTGACTCATGAATTTGTTTCTATCAGTTTGCTTTCTTACTTCCCCAAAACTTGGAGAGGAAGTTCTCTGTTGAGCAGAGGCATTAAAATTCTAACCACCAAAGCTAATTCGGATCATAAACAACCAAATGAATGGGAGCAACTGTGGCCTTGGCAAGTCCAGAAACATAGGTGAGTAACATGTCTAGAAAGGGGAATAATCATTAGCTGAATTAAAAAGAAGCATTTAACAAACCCCTCTTCCTGCACTGTCACACACACACACACACACACACACACACACACACAAGAAAGTGCAGCATGGAATAAACTGATTTTAATATGAGCTGTCTTTATATGCAAAAATAGCTCCATGGTCTCAGCTGATTTTGGAAGCCTACCCATCTTTAATTATATGCTGTACCTAGCTGAATTATAAACATTGTTTATTGTTGTTAGTTACATAATTATGCATGTAGGATAGCTTCAAGAGGCCATTTCTAAAACACTAATCTTATAACTGAACTGAATATTTGAGACCTTGTGTCATTATAACCTGGACTTCAACCTCTTGTCCATTTCAGATAGTATTTATGTCATCTGTGAGCACCTACCCATTAGGTACAAGTAGATAAATAATTATATACCCTACAAAAGTCCATCAGATTTATGATTAAATCACAGATTGTAGATGAAGAACTTAATGATAAGGCATCAGCTCCCACAGACAAGTATTTAGGAGTTGAAGAGAATTGAATCATACACATTTTCAGAAGTATTTTTGGCAAATGCTTGGAATCGAATATGTTCCCACAATAGTCATTTCTACTACTAAACTCAAATTGTAGTCTGAAGAATCACTTCTCTTTTTTAGATAATGTTCTCTGGGAACAGAAAAACAAATGTTTAGAAACAAGATATGTTAAGAAAAAGAAAGAAGAAGAAG